GGTAGGCATCAATTGACTTCAGTGAATCAGCATCATACTCAGTCGGCTGCCATGTAATATTTGGAAAGTTTTGAGCAAACCAAGTAACGTGCTGTCCAGATCCAGAAGCGACTTCTAAGGCACTTAACTGTTTGTCAGGGGAAAGAACTTTTCTTAAAATGGATAAAATAGCGTTCTTATTACGCTCTGCTGCAGGAGCATTCAGCATTCTGACAATTACAAAAGACAGGCCAATTTTTATCGGTAGAACTCAACACTAATCAACTAACGAATTCAATTAAATATATAGGATTGCCATCATTTACTAAAAATGGCTGATAATATCAATATTGATGATAAAAATTAAAACGATTATATAACCAGTAACCATGGTTAGTCTCTCCCCTGGTTGCAAGCAACCGGTTACTTAGTGATTACAAAATTTAAAGCGCTAAGATTTGAAAACATTAAATTTAATTTGTCAATTCTCTCGAAGCCATCTAATGGTTGTATTTATGGCTGATACTTGAGGTTTTAATTGTAAACGATAATGATTTAATAATAATGTTTTATCATTGTGACTGGAAGAGTATGATCACAGGAAGCTGGTTGACATTTTCACAATCATAATAATGAATGAAGGATTATCTCAATCTTCATGCATCTGCTGGATGTTTTGAAAAATCAATCCTTTCCAAAAAGCAAAACATGCGAAATGGATTTCAATAAATCAACTGCACCATAGGTATAGCAATATAATGTCCAATAAATGTCATTTTCATTGGTTAGTTTAGACCTTTGAAGGACTCAACAATAAAATCAGAACTTAAACAATTTCCAAAATGATTTCGGTTATGAACGATTCATTTCTTTCCTAGTTTTGTTTCAGTCAAAGGAGGATTTCAAAAGTTGCCTGTTTAAGATCGCTTTGCAGATCATTTTTTCTTATGTGTCTTTTAATGGTGATTGCTGATCAATAAATCATGTTTTGATCCGAGTTAAAAAGTTTCAAAAGTTTCATAAAATTGGTGAAAGGATACTAACTGTTATTGATAAACTCAACTGGGGATCATTACTTCTTAAACTGATCAAAACCGTAGTCGAGTTTATGATTGACGTTCTTGCTGGAGTTATGCTTGGGAAAAGCGCTTTATCACCGCCTTTGAAATCATTTTAGATGTGTTTAAATAACAAAAATAATGTTGTAATAACGTTAAAACATAACATTTTCCATACAATTGTGCAAAAGATATTTCATTCAAGATATGAAGACTTATTTTTCGACTGAATATTGCCACCGAACTGCCTAAAATAAGACTTTTGAAATGAAATCTTTTCAACTAAATATTGGTTCGACTTCTTTTGTTCCCACTGAGCTAGTTTAAACTGGACACAGGTTGTTTCTGGTTCCGGTTTTTGTTTTTTAGCGTGAAGTTTTGAATACAAGTTTCAGTTGTGAACAACATTTCTTTGTCAATCTTTTGCTTTCTTCTTTGCTGTAACAAGTTCTTTAAGTAAGTTCATTTTTGCCAGTCAAGTCTTTTCACAGTGAATGCTACAAAACCATTTCTTTCACAGAAAATAATTTTATTCTTGCCAATGGATAATTCACTGAAAAATATTGAAAAAGATGATAGCTCAGATAAAGGTGAGTCTATTTATTTAATGAATCATGATAATACAGTGATGATAACTTTTCGATAAATTATTCAGTTACCATAAAGGTTAAGGTTGAAGATGAGGGATATCATGATATAGTAATAGATTGGTCGGATGGCAGTTCTCCATACAAAGATCAGCAAGTTATTAAACAGGTAAGCCATTTTCTCATGTTTCATTTCAATTTTGCTTTAGATTAAACTAGACATTCAATTTTGTTTTTAAATAGCTTTCGTCGATAATCGGAATGCCAGTCGAATTAATCAGGCTGACTGGGTTAGTTTATGCGCCTAATAATCATTTTGATTTACATAATATTGAACATAAATCATTCGATCCCCGGTTTTATGAGCATGATGAGCCTGATGAGAATGCGCCTGATTTAATGCCGTGTAACTTCACCAAAGAGAACTGTTTAGGAAGGTTGAATGATGGTGATCGCTTTGTCTTGCGTACTGATTTGACTTTGTGGGTGGATGTCTGTTTCAGTCTAGACATATATTTGTATAGCCTTGACTGTGAGTTTTACAATGAAAACAATTGTACTCAGTACTATTGTCATTATTCAAATACGAGAAATTTTATCGATAGAAAAGTATCAGTTGCTACAAACACTGAGTTACACAATATATTACGAGCAAGGTATGCAGAAATGCCTCCTATTGTAGACGTTGATTCAGCCTTGGAAAATCGTTCACGAAGAATAAGAATCTTGAGAGAGTTGGACATCAAGGCGTTCTTTTGGGGGCAGCAGTGTATTAGTAGCTCGAGATACCATGACCGACATGAGTCCCCCTATTCACGAACTCGAGGTTAACTTTTACTGATATTTTATCTTCATGTGAAAATGCTGGCTCCAGGAAACGAAACATGGTGCTAATCATCAATGACATGCTCGCCACAATTCCAATCTCTCATTAATAAACAAGCAGATTGAAGTAATCATTGTAATCATTCTATAATAGATTATTTAAAGTATAATATAAATTTATATCATGAAACACATCACATAATTGCCAATTCTTTGGAGTATTCGAAGCTTTTCCATTAAGATCTTCAATCACAAGACCACCAAGACTTTTGAAATGAAATCTTTTCAACTAAATATTGGTTCGACTTTTTTTGTTCCCACTAAGCTAGTTTAAACTGGACACAGGTTGTTTCTGGTTCCGGTTTTTGTCTTTTAGGGCAAAGTTTTGAATTCAAGTTTCAGTTGTGATCAACATTTCTTTGTGAGTCTTTTGTGTTCTTTTCGCTAACAAGTTGTAAGTTCCTTTTTCGCCATCCAAGTCTTCTCAGATTTGATCTTTATAAACTGTTTTATTCAAACTTTTTTTCTTCAATGGATCATTCAATGAGAAATGCTGAAGATGTGGATATTTCAGATAAAGGTGAGTCTATTTATTTAATGCACTATGATAATACAGTGATGCTAATTGTTTCAATAAATTATTTAGTTACCATAAAGGTTAAGCTTGCAGATGAGGGATATCATGATCTAGTAATAGATTGGTCAGATAGAAGTGGTAAATACAAAGGGAAACGAGTTATTGACCAGGTAAGTCATTTTGGCTCATATTTGTCTTAAATTTAATTTAGATTAAACATTCAATTTTATCTTGAATAGCTTTCAACGATAATCGGTATTCCATCCCACTACATCGGTGCTGCCTACATCAATTTCACACACAATAATTTGGTTGAAATATTTGATAAAGATCTCGATGAAAGAAACCAGAATGAATTCACTAAGGAGAACTGTTTAGGAATTTTGAATGATGATTTTGATTGTTTCGCTATAACAACTGAACTGATTTTTTGCAGATTTGAGTTTGATTTGTGTATATGTTTGGAAAGCCGTTTGTTGGTTAATGATAATGATTGTACAGGTAACTATTGTCATTATTCAAATACTAGAGCTTTTATAAATAGACAAGTAGCAATTGCTACAAACTCCGAGTTAGTTATGAAAATACGATTAAAGTATGAAGAGATACCTATGGACATAGAAGGGATTGAAATTTATTTGCGAAAAGGGAAAATTTTGAGAGACTTCGACATCAAGCCGTTTATTTACGGACCATGGTGTCGCCTAACCTATGGCAGAGCACAGGAATATATTGATTATATCAATCCGCAATATTCACGAACTCGTGGTTAACTTTTACGTGATGTCTAAACTTAACATCAAGATATAAGATGATTTGAAATCTTGAGTTTGAAACCAATAAATGTTTGATTAACCTTGAGTTTGAATGAGTTTCTTTAAGAGTTTTCATATCACTTGCAATGAATGACACTTGAAATGAAATGTCCATCAATGGCAAATGCTCTTGACATATCTAATCTATTCAATAATATCTTTTGACCATTTAAAGACCAAATCAATCGCAGTCTTTATTTTGGTTACTTTATGAGCAAAAGTTATTCTAATTTTGTACTCTTACTTATACTTTTTATTATTAAAAACTGTTCTCGTGATTAACAAATCAAAATGTTGTACAATCCATGGTCTGCCAGTCGATGTATCGTACTTTACTTACAAACCATTACTTTTCTTATGTTTCTGCTCATTTCGTGTTCAACATTCAGAATTACTTATGGTTTTAGTGTTGCCCTGTTGCTCAAAGGATTTCATCTCCATGCAATTTACAAAGGGACAAGATCAATGCTCAGGGGTTTCTTTTGCTTCACAATTTTTGGACTCTGTATGACGATTTTTCTGGCCACCATCATAACCACATTAGCTGTTTGCTCTTTCAATTATACTGAGACTAAAACTAATACTATTCAGAATGAAAATGTTGTTGCATCGATGGCCAATGCAGTTGGATCTGGATTCCTTGTTGGAGTTGCACTTTCCTTGGTAGGTTTTCAATTCTTGGATGCTTTCTTCCAATCACTGTATCTGGAAGAATTAAATTATCAAAATTCCGTTTCTGGAGCTGTAATTACTTTAGAGCGAGTTGGCCGGATTGGTATTTAATCTCGAATTGATCTGAATTTGAACTCGAATTTCCATTGATCGTACAATAATTTATCAACAGCTACACCAATCAATCTTGTAATTTTAAACCAATACTATTTTGAAAGACTAAAATAAAATTTTGACAATTTAGTTATAATTCAACGTTTAATATTAAAATGTAAGTAATGACGTTTATGCACTGACTTTTTACACATTATAAATACTTTTTGTTCCCTTTGTACGGTCATTTTGATAAGAGTCGATTCAAGTCGACCGATCGCGCTGGTTTGACTCTAGTTTTGGCTTGTTCAAAAGATTCGCGCTAGGCTTCAATTGACTTCAGTGAATCAGCATCATACTCAGTCGGCTGCCATTTAATGATTTAATGAAACTCCTCACAACCATAATAATGAATGGAGGATTATCTCAATCTGAAAAATCAATCCTTCCAAAAAACAAAACATGCAAAATGGATTCAAACAATTCAACTGCACCATAGGTATAGCATTATAATGTCCAATAAATGTCGTTTTCATTGGTTAGTTTAGATCTTTGAAGGACTCTACAATAAAATCAGAACTTAAATAATTTCCAAAATGATTTCGTTCTCAAACGA